TCTCCATCTCAGCTCTTTTAATTAATTAATTTTTGAGCTAGGATTTTATTATGTAGCCCTAACTGGCTTGGAACTTGATATGTAGACCAGGATGACCTCAAACTCAACAGAGATCCATCTGCCTCTGCCTCCCAATGCTATGATTAAAGTTGTGCACCACCATGCCTGCACCGTCTTTTGATTCTGGGTCTTTCTTTGAACCTGGAGCTCACTGATTCAGTGAGGCTGACTGATCAGCAAGCCCCAGGAATCCTTCTGTTTCTGCCTCCCCGGTGTTGGTATTATGGGTTCATAATGTGGATTCTGAGGTATTAATTCAGGTCCTCATGCATATAAAGCAAGCACTCTACCAACTGAGCCATCTCGCCAATCCTGGTGACTCTTCTTTTAAGGATTCTAATCTATCATAGTAGAGCTCATTTAACCTTTTACTTCCTACAGGTTCTATCTGAAAATGAAGTCACATTTGTGGGTTAGGAAGGACTTCAACATATGTCTGGGGGGTATGCAGCTGTCAAAATTCAGTCAGTCACAACAAGCTGACAAATCTCCATTTTCCCACCTGCAGATGGGAACTGTGCCTTAAAAGACTGTGGCTAGGGCGTAGACAGGAGGCTCAGCAGTTAAGAGCACTGATCTTTCTTGTAGAGGACCAGGGTTCAATTCCCAGCACCCACATGGCAGCTATGAACCATCCTTAACTCCAATTCCAGTGGAATCCGATGCCCTCTTCTGACCTCCGCAGCATTGCATGACAGGATACACTCATGTGCATGCAGGCAATACACTCATACACATAGAATAAAAATAATAAATTCTTTTAAAAGACTGCTGCTAATTGATTGTTAGTCCGAAAAGACCTAGAATCACCTAGGAAAGGAGGCCCTGGAAATGCCTATGGGGATTTTCTGGATTTGATTAATTGAGGTGGGAAGATCCACCATAAATGTGGGCAGCACTATCCCACGAACTTGGGTCCTGTACTGAATAAAATGGAGAAAGTGAGCTAAGCACCAGCATCCATCTCTCTCTGCTTCCTGACTGTGGATGCAAATGCGACCAGCTGTCTCAGCTTTCTGCTGCCATGCCTTCCCACCATGATGGACTATACTCTCAAAATGTGAATCCAAACAAACCTTTCCTTCCTGAAGTTGTTTTTTTAGTATTTATTATTTTTATTTTATGTGTATGAGTATATTGCCTTCATGTATGTAACTGCACCCATGTTGTGCAATGCCCACAGAAGTCAGAAGAGGGTGTCAGATCCCCTAGAACTGGAGTTATGCATGGTTGTTAGCCACCATGTGGGTGCTGGGAATTGAACCTGGGTCCTCTTCAAGAGCAGCCAGTGCTCTTAAGCACTGAGCCATCTCTCCAGCCCACCTAAGTTGTTTTTTATCAGGATATTTTATCATGGCACAGAAAAGTAACTAAGACATTAGTAAATTCAACTAAAAAGTATGTGAAATAAAGTGTTTTATTGCAACAAAGTGTTTCTGGAGAAATAAAAACTATACAAAAACATGATCTATATCAAAGATTAGAATAAAATTAAATGTGAGATCTAAACATGGAACTAAAAGATCAGGAACTGAACAATTTTCAATCCTGTGCTACCAGGTTTATCTAACTTTCTTTTCATTTATTAAATATTTTATTTGTTTTTATTTTATATATATGTATGAGTGTATTGCCTGCATGTATGTAAGTGCACCCATGTCATACAGTGCCCCTGGAGGTCAGAATAGGGTGTCGGATCCTCTGAAACTGGAGTTATGGACAGTTGTTAGTGGCAAAGTGGAGGCTGAGAATTGAACCCAGGTCCTTTGCAAGAGCAAATAGTGCCCTTAACCACTGAGCCATCTCTCCAGTCCCATAACTTTGTTTTTATAACAATCTCATGTGAAGTATAATTATTTCCACTTTAATTTTTTAAGGTGGATTTTTTTTTACTTATGTGTATATATGTCTGTGTCTGTATGTATGTCTGTACCTGTGTGCAGGTACCCTTGGAGACCAGAAGAGGGCTTCTAGTCTCCCAGATCTGGAGGTATGGGCAGTTGTGAATCGCTTGACGTGAGTGCTGGGAATCAATTGTAGGTCCTCTATAAAAGTAGCAAGCACTTTTAACTGCTGAGCCTTCTCTCCAGATCCAGTTATTCCATTTTTAAAATAAGAAGGCTGTCTCCAAAAGCCCAAGTTTCTCAAAGTCTTTCAAGTGATAAATGGTATAATATTAAAAAAAACTACAAAGAGAATATATAGTAACATGAAAAGTGTTAAGGGAAATGGGAAAATAAAAAAATTGATTTTTAGGAATGAAAAAATGTATGCAGAGAGAGAAACAAAGATTAAGACTAAAAGTATGTCATGTATTTGGTACGAGGTGAATGTTTCTACCTTTAAACATCCTTACTCTTTAATAAGATGGAGAGCATATCATTGTAAAATTATTTTTCTTAAAGGATTTTCATTTCATTAATTTTCTCAAAATCACCCAATGTCCAACCTGCAGCTCACAGGCCATGTGTGGCCTAGGATAGTTATGATTGTACCCAACACAAAATCAGTGAAGTGCTGTACCTATAGGACAAGTTGGCCCAGGTGTGTGTGTAGTGGGGTGGAGCTTCTGGGAGAAGTGGAAAAGAAAGCAGGCCCCTTTCCTGGGGCAGAGGACATGGCTAAGTGGGTTAAAGTGCTTGCTTGCAGCACAATCCTGAACACTGAGTTTGGACCTCTATAACCCATGTAAATGCTGGGTAGGTGTGGTGGCTGTCTGTAATTCCAGCCTCAGAAGGTGGAGATTAGCATACCCAGGAGTTCTGGGTTGGACTGAAAGACCCTCTTCAATGAATAAGGTGGAGGAGCCTTTGAAGATGATTCCCAACACCCACCTTGGGCTTCCACATACATGTGCATGTTCACCCACCCACACATGTATGCCCACAAACATGAAAACATGCATACATGTACATGCACACCATATTCACATGAAAAATGGAGAGGGGCTTTACCTGTTTCAGCCTAGGTCACTTTTCTATGTCATCTTTTGAGGAACTTAGGCAAGGTGCAGGGACCACTAGCTCTCCTGAGCTCCCAGCTTGGTTTCCTCTGTCTCTAGTGGTTCAGTAACACACCATAGTGCCATGATAAAGGAAAGGGAGGTGTGGTCACTGGTTTGTTGTTGTTTAGTTCTGAGACAGAGACTTGAGTTGCTTATTTTTGTCAGCTTAACAAAACGTAGAATCACCTAGAAAAAAAAAATGTCTCCTTGATCAGCTTGGTCTGTGGGCATGTCTGTGGAGGATTATTTTGATTGCCTTAATTGATGCGGGAAAACCCAGCCTGAAAGTGGGCAGGTGGTACCATTCCTTGGTTTAGGGTTTTGGACTGTGTAAGAGTGGAGAAAGAGCTGAGCACCAGCATGCAGGCATCCCTCTTCTCTGCTCCTGGCTGTGGGTGCAATGTGACCAGTTGCTTCAGGCTCCTGCCACTGTGACTTCCTCACAGTGGTGGCTTGCCTGGAATTCTGAATCAAATAGACCTCTTAACCCCTTAAAGTTGCCTTTGTCAGGGTATTTTATCACAGTAACAGAAAGGAAACTAAAACAGCTCCTATAGCCCAGGCTGGCCTGGCCTTGATCTTGGTATAGATAACTATATATATTGGAGAATGACCTTGAAATTCTGATTCTCCTGCCTCCATCTCCAGGGTGCTAAGATTGTAAGCATGTACCACCATGCCAGTTTTATGTGGTGCTGGGATGGAAGCCAGGGCATCTTGCATGAAAGGCAAGCACTCTACTCACTAAACTATATTCCGACCTCAAGGTCACTGTTTTCTTTGGGTTTCTGTTTTCCCACCAGCAGATGCAGCTTTAAATTAATCTCACTGTTTTTTTGTTTGTTTGTTTGTTTTAAAGTATGAAACTAGGGTGAGCGAGATAGGTCAGTGGGTAAATTCACTTGTGACCAAGCCTGAAGACCTGAGTTTGATTCCTGGGAGCCACAACGTAAAAGGAGAGAAATGACTGACTCCTGCAAGATGTCCTCTGACCTCCACACTCATTCGGTAGTTCATTCTCTCTCTCTCTCTCTCTCTCTCTCTCTCTCTCTCTCTCTCTCTCTCACACACACACACACACACACACAATATTGAATTTACACACACACACACACACACACACAATTTTGAAATTTTAGAACTGAAAATGGAAAGGGAGAGAGAGAGGGTTGGTTGGTAGTGGGTCAGGGGAATTTCACCTAAGTGCTTTCTCCTTTTACCCAAGGGCAGATAAAAATAGCTGTTGAGTAGAGAGTTTGCCTACCATGCCTCAAGCCCCCTGGGTTTATTTCCAGCACATCAAAGAGCAAAAGTTTTAAGAACAAATTCTCAGGCTTGAACGTGGAGGAGGGTAGTCAGGACTATTAGAAACTGAATGGGATGGGAGGAGAGGCCTGGGAAGTTCAGAGTGGAAGCGGGCTGGAAGCTGTTCTTCCAAATCTCTGCCAAGAGTTTCAGCTGTATGCTGAAGCTCGAAATAAACTTCAACTCCCATGCAGCCCTCTGCATGAGCTGGGAATGAAGCTGCCAGGACCAGACTGGGCTCAAGACCTTTCTATTTCACGACCGTCAATACCTGGGGCTCCTACTCCTGGAACAGGTAGAATGGGGACTCCAGGAAATCACAATCCCTTTGCCCAGGATCCTACTGTCTTCTTCAGTGTCTAGCCGAGATACCAAGCCCACTAAGGGATCTGTGCAGCTGTGGAATTCCGATAGGATCTTATACACCTCCCCCCCTACCCTCCACCCACCCGGCTAGGCTATGGCTGCTAGGATTACTCTCCATCTGCTCCAGCGGGAAGACCGCAAAAGCGGTACAGATCCGGCTCCTATTGGTGGCATCTGCAAACCGGCCCCGCCCTCTTCAGCCCACTCCAGGGTCCCCTCCCTCTAGCCACTGAGTCGAGGAGGACTCTCCAAGCCGCCCTGGCGTGCAGACACTGAAGACTACAAAGGGACGTGGGAGATTGATGCGTCGCACAAAGCTGGACTGAAGGGTCCCTGTCCAATTTCTCAACCGGAAAAGAGTCCGCAAAGGCTCCCCAAAGAGGCGCCAAGGGGAGGCTGCGGCTTGGAAGGACCAGGGTGGCTCCATCTAGAGCTCTCTCTGCCCTGCCCGGACACGCAGTGTCCCTTCCTACTTCCCCACCTGCTCACAGCTCACCGGGAGCTGCGGGACCACGCAGACATCTTCTGCCTTGCCCGAAGTCCCCTCGCAATGGAAGAAGCTAACCTCTCAGCGGCGACCCCCGGCCTCGTCCTTCCCCTGGTGTCCTGCAATGACAGCCCAAGCCCCAGCGACGTCGTAGGGTCCACCCCAGGCGGGTCCATCCTGCCTGGCCGCGAGTCGCCCTTCTCCGTCTTCACCGTGTTGGTGGTGACTCTCCTCGTGCTGTTGATCGCTGCTACTTTCTTGTGGAACCTCCTGGTTCTGGTGACCATCCTGCGCGTCCGCGCCTTCCACCGCGTGCCCCATAACTTGGTGGCCTCGACTGCTGTGTCAGACGTGCTGGTGGCTATCCTAGTGATGCCATTGAGCCTGGTGAGCGAGTTGTCCGCTGGGCGACGTTGGCAGCTGGGCAGGAGTCTGTGCCACGTGTGGATCTCCTTCGATGTGCTGTGCTGCACCGCCAGCATCTGGAACGTGGCAGCCATCGCCCTGGACCGCTACTGGACCATCACCCGCCACCTGCGGTACACGCTGCGCACGCGGCGCCGCGCCTCGGCACTCATGATCGCGCTCACCTGGACGCTGTCTGCGCTCATCGCGCTCGCCCCGCTGCTCTTTGGCTGGGGCGAGGCCTACGATGCTCGGCTGCAGCGCTGCCAGGTGAGCCAGGAGCCCTCCTACGCAGTCTTCTCCACCTGCGGCGCCTTCTATCTTCCGCTGGCTGTGGTGCTGTTCGTCTACTGGAAGATATACAAGGCCGCCAAGTTTCGATTCGGCCGCCGCAGGAGGGCTGTGATGCCTCTGCCCGCCACCACCGAGCAGGTGAGAGGGGCCGGCCGTGGAGGACTCTGGGTGAGGAGGAAGTCTGGGGGAAACCAGGTGGGCTGAAGCTTGCATACTGGGAGAGTGAAAAAAGGAACAAAGCCAAAAGTAACGGCAACGCATCTGGTGCACAAGTGGAGGTCTTTCCAAGGGTGGTTCAGCACTTGTGCTCCAGACCGGCCACCTGCAGAATCCAGGACAGCAGCAGAAAGTTTCCTCAGTGCGACAACTGTGTGTGTGTGTGTGTGTGTGTGTCCTTGCGAGCACATGTAGACAGGGTCTCATGAAACACAAACTTGTTTCAAACTCACTACTGTAGATGACCTTGGACTTCTGATCCTCCTGCCTCTACCTCCCAAGTGCTGGGGTTACAGGTATATGGCCACCACATTCAGATGATGCAGCGCTGAGGAACTCAGGCCTTCCTGCCTACTGGATTAATGCTCTCCTGACTCGGCTACATCGCCAACCCCACAGCTACTGGGAGACCCTGTCCCAAAAAAGACCAAACATAATAGAACTTGGGTCCTCTGCAAGAGCAGCCAGTGTTCTTAACTGCTGAGCCATCTCTCCAACCCCTCCTTTTTTTTTTTTTTTTTTTTTTTTTTGAGACAGGACCTCTCATTGAACTAGAGATCACTAATTCAGCTGAACTTGCCACTGAGTCCCATGGATCGTCCTGTTTCTGTCTCCCTAGTGCTGTGGACTCAGGTCCTTGTGCTTATGTGGCAAGTTCTTTACCAACTGAGCCATCTCCTCAGCCCCTACATATTGTAAGTTAAAAGGAACAATGAAACCTGTTTTCTCTAGGACTGGGAACTTGTTACCTATAATATCTGAGCCTCCCAAAGTGGGAAAGCTTGGGATTCCAGAGTGAAGCTGAACATATAATAAGCCAAATGGGGCAGGAAAGTCCACACAGAATAGTAAATACATCCAGAGAGGATCTGCCAAATGCACCCCCTTCGTCGCCCTACATTTCTGGTGAACTCTTCCCTTCCTTATGATGGCTGGCCTCATAGAGGCTGTTGTCCCTCTTTCATTAGCCAGTTCTGTCACCCTGCCCCCCTTCCCTCATTTTCCAGGATTGTGGGAGATAGCTAGCATATTTCAGCTCATGGACTTCTCACCAAAAGCCTTATACAGAACAATCTAGGGCCAGAGATGTGGTTCAGTTGGTAGAGTGCTTGCCCAGCATCCACAGAGCCCTGAACTTGATCCCCAGCACTGCCTAAACCAGGTACAGTGGTGCACTCTTCTATAGGGTCTCCCAGTAGCCCCAGTTGGCCTGGAACTCACTATGTAGACCAGGCTAGCCTCGAACTCATAGAGATCTGCCTCCCGCGTGCTGGGATTAAAGGCGTGCGCCACCATAACCGGCTATTAAATATATTTTTTTAAAAAAGATGGAGAGCCTTGAAGAAGATACCTAATGTCAAGCTCTGGTCTCCATACACATTCATGTGCACCTGTGCATGGGTATACATACAGACACACACACACACACACACACACAAATACAATATGTGGGCCACAAAAAGGGGTGCATAAGAAAGCAAGAGATAGGACAGGTTTTGTTATTGTTAGTTTGTTTTATTCTTACAAAGTTAACTCAGATAACTAGTTACCAGAGAAGTATATGGGCTTTCAAATGTAGATTCTTTTTCATTTAATTAAATGGCAGAGGAGCGTTTAACATAAAACAGGAATGTCAAGTCTATAATTGGAAAATGTTGGAAGACAGAGGTTTATTCAGAATTAATGATGTTCTTTGAAAGGTTCCTTGGAAATGCCTGGGGTGATTACAGCTTTTCAGTCTGATTTCAGGGAGAGGGCTGACTTTTAATAGCGACATCATTCCAATAAGCACTTAGAAAAATCACGGTGGAATGGATGCTGGAATGGCCTGCCAGTACAGTTTTTGGGAGGAAAAAGAGGAAAAAGAGGAAAAAGAGATTTGATTTTTGTTTGTTTGCTGGGGATCAAATTCAAGACCTCATGCAGGCTAAGCAAGCACTTTACCACTGTCCTCAGCCTTTACTGTTCTTTTCGATGCAGCTCATTTAGGCAAGCGATATGAAAATGTAAAAGACAGATGATTGGCTAATCAGGAGTAGCCTGTAATGGGGAGAAAGAGCTCAGAAAGGCAGGGGCAGCATTAGGACTAAGTTGCTCTCTAGTGGTGGGGTTTGAGGCAAACTCTCCTCAACTCTGGGCCTCAACTTTTCTAATGTGCAGTATTAGTCTGTGTTGTGATTTGACTGTGAAATATCCCCCATAGACTCACATGTTTGAACACTACTCCCCAGCTGGTGATGCGGTTTGGGAAGGCTGTGGCACCTTTAGGAGGTGAAGCCTCACTGGAGGAAGTGAGTGGCTGGGAGTGGGCCTTAGGGAAGCAGAGTCCTCTCTGCTTCCTGACTTCAGATGCAATGTGACACCTCCTTTTTCTGCTCCTGCTGCCAGATGGACTGTATCTGAGAACTGTAAGCCAAAATAAACCCTTCCTCCCTTAAATTGCTTCTTGTCAGGAATATGGTCACAGAAACCAGAAAAGAAGTTAATACAGTATAATAGTTTTTAACTGTCAACTGGACACAATCTAGAATCACCTGGGAAGATAGCCTTAATTGAGAAAATATCTAGATCAGGTTTGGCCTGTGGGCATGTCTGGGGGGGATTGTCTAAATTAAGTTAATTGATGTGGGAAGACCCAGCCCACTGAGGATGGCACCATTCCCTAGGCAGGGGGGTCCTGAACTATATAAGGAGAAAGCAAGCAGGCAAGTAGACAGGCAGGCCTCTGTGCTGGATAGCTTTAGTTGTCAACTTGACACACCTGGGTAGAAGGCCCCTCAATTGGGGAATTGCCTCCATTGGACTGGACTGTGGCCATGTCTATGGGGCATCTTCTTGATTACTGAGTGATGTGGGAGGGCCCAGCCCACTGTGGATGGTACCATCCCTGGGCAGGTGTGCCTATGTTGCTTAAGAAAGCAGGCTAAGCATGGCCCAGGGGAGCAAGCCAGTAAGCATCATTCCTCCATAGCCTGTGCTCCAGCTCCTGCCTCCAGGTTCCTGTCCTGAGTTCTTACCTTGGGCTCCCTCAGTGATGAACTGTGACCCAGGAAATGTAAGTCGAACAAACCATTCCCTCCCCAAGTTGGTATTGGTCAGAGTGTTTTGTCACAGCAATGGAGAAACAAACTAGAACAGCCTCCATGCAGTTATTTCTTTTTGTTTTTGATTGTGGATGTGATGTAACTAGCTAGCTGCTTCAAGCTTCTAACACTCTGCTATGGTGGACTGGAACCTGGAATTGAGAGGCAAATAAATCAGTTTCTAAGTTACTTTTTGTCAGGGTGTTTTATTGCAGTAACAAATGAAAGTAGGCTATACAGTATCTAAATACTTTGCCAATTGAGCTAGTGATATCTCTCTAGTCCAGGACCAGATGAAATTTAAAGCTGAAAACATAAATGTAACCTAACCACAGTTATTCTATTTAATTACATTTTCCTTTTCTCAGTGTTAACCCCAGTGAATCCTTAGCCATTCCAGAACAATTAAACTCTCGGCAATAGCAAAAAAAAAAAGATCTGTTTCCTAAATATTAGAATTATAACAAGTGTGTCTTAAGTTATGATCACATCCAAGAGCTCAGACAAACTGTATCCTATTGTGTATTTTTGCAACATCAAAGTGATGGCTTATTTGCATCCAGCCTAACTGTGCTATGCTTTTTACAAGAAAATGTCCTTATTTGCATGGTTTCTTCTGCATAAGAAAAGTAACTGAGAGAATTTCCTGTTCTAGGTTGTCAGACAAGCTAGACAGCTTCTGTTTATGTAGGTGATACTTTGGTTAGTTATTCTCTTTCAAGTGCTTTTAGGATATGACACCTGGAGTTGCAGAGCAAAGGAAATCCTGAATGTCCCAAGCCTTCACCTAATGGTTAGAAATAACTAATTCCAGAAGTCTAGAGAGGTGGCTCAGTATTCAGGAGCACTTAACTGCTCTTCCAGAGGACCCAGGTTTGGTTCCTAGCACTGACATGGCAGCTAACACTCGTCCCTAATTCCAGTTCCAGGGGACCCAATGCTCCCTTCTGGCCTCCCCAGGTACCAGGCATGTATGTGGTGCACTTACAAACACTCACACACATAAAATAAGAATAAATAAAATCTTTTTTAAAAAGAGAGCCATTCTAGAGGATGGGGTGGGGCAATGGCTCAGTGGATAAAGTACTTGCCTTACAAGCATGAAAACCTGAGTTTGATCCTCAGCACCCACATAAAACAACCAGGGATAGTTGTGCATTCTTGTAATCCCAACACAGAGGTGAATCTCTGGGGCTGGATGTCCAACCAGCCTAGCCTCCTTCTCAAGTCCCAAACCAGTGAGAGATCCTGTTTAAAAAACAAGACATAGGGGCTGGAGAGGTTAAGTGCACTGGCTGCTCTTGCAGAGGACCTGGATTTTGTTCTCATCATCCACATGGCAGCTAACAACCACCTGTAACTCCAGTTAGAGATCTGACACCTTCTTCTGACCTCTGTGGGCACTGAATGACATGGGTGCACTTACATACATGTAGGCAATACACTCATACACATAAAATAAAAATAATAAAATAAAAAAAGAAATAGCCCAAAGGCCATTTTGTGTGCCATTTTTAGTGTGTTCTCATGTGGACAATGACGCTCCCCCAGGAGCTCAGAAGTGAATTTTCCTCTTGTGTATCATGTTCAAAAGGCTTTAGATTTGGGGGCATTTTGGATTTCTGATTTTTGCAGTAGGGATCTCATTTTTAAGACCTGACAGGTTTGATGTGAGGACATATTAGTGCCATTTAGTTCTACTGGTTTAGCACAGTGGCTCCCTAGGAACGCTGTTGCCATTTCATAGTGCCTTTCCATTCATATGTGTGTGTGTGGGGGGGGGCGCACGTACTGGTGCATGGGCTTGTAATATAAAGGACAGATAACCTCAAGCATTTT